AGCAATGTCTGTTGTGTGCTACGTCTGTTGCGTGCTGCTTCCGTCACGGGCCGACTGAGACTACATGGCAGCAGCATTCACTTCAACCGCTTGCTTCGTGAACCATGACAATGATCAGCACAGTGACAACTGAGCAAGGCAAGAGCTCGAGGAAAACGGCAAGAGGCAACTGACGAGCCTTCCACCAAACGTAGTCATCGAGTCATCGAGACCAGACCTGGCGCAACAAGTTCGGTCAGTCTACAGGTGGACGTCGAAGCAACCACAGTGGGAAAGATGCGCATAAGAAGCTAAGACCCGCAACCAACATGTCAGGAAGGACCCTGCTGACCTTAGCCTTCCACCATAAAGGAGGACGCGCTCGACTGCAAGGACCAGGAAGACCTGTGGCAGGCTACCAAACCGGCCGTCCAGCCACGAATGGGAAGTGCTCGACTCGAGGTGAGCAAAACCGGCCTTCCACTGCCGCTTTTCCTGCGTCGAGGCCTCGGCGTTGAAACAACTGTATTAGTATTAAGAAATGATGGACAGCCAGACATAAGCCTTGCACCAGTAAGCCCAGCAAATCGGGATGAGGAAGACCTGGCAGTCCAACGTACAGGTCGGGCACTTCTGGGCAATGGATAGACAAGTGCCTAAGTGCTTCTTGCCCAGCATGTCCGTCAGAGTCCTGGCAGCAGGCAGGCTTCCTAAGTTTAAATGGTCCCCGGCAACGATCGTGTCGAGTCCTGACGACGCGGAAGCCCTCGAGGTTGGACCTGGCAGGTTCAAATAGGGACAAAGGCTCACATCCCATAATTATTAGCTTTGAGGCTGCCTCCTGGACCAGGGCAGCAAACCATTCGGCGGCCTCGGCAACCAATTTTTGCCTCATACTCCTGGAGTATGAGGCCAGGGCATTTCGGAAATGCACACCCTGAGCAGACTGAAGATACTTGGTTCAACTGATTTGGGTGTGTCCTGACCCTCGCCCTTGAGTTTTGAACTCAACAGCCTGTCAAACAAAAGTCCTGACCCTGGCCCTTGAGGTTTGAACTCAACACAGCCCGTCAAACAAAATTCTGGGTGTTTAGGCCGGGTGGTCAAGGGCCCTCCAGTCATGGAAGTAGGAAGTCCTCAATGCCAATACACCGCAACCCTGGACCCTCAGCCATTAAGGCTTTCAAGGGTCTTGCGCAGACCCTGAAAGCCTTTGACTGAAAGCCTACCTGATGTTACTTGATATGCCCTAGATCCGGAGGATACAACTAGGCCTCAGAAGACCGGACAAATCATGCTGTTTCGACGTCGAGATGTAGCGACCCAGGGGGATCCTGCCGGGAACACAGTCCCACCCCTGTAGGGGCCATACCGGGCAATAGCCACCACTGAGAAGCGCACCCAACGCCTACTTGGGCGATGAAATGCCACCGTGGTCCACGTCGGCCTACCATATCCGACCAGATCCGTCAGGCAGGCAGGGTCTTACTCAGACCTCTGCCGGGTCTTACTCAGACCCGAGTCTTGCGCAGACCCATTTAGTTACCCCCTTACTCGGAAGCTCTTTCGACCTAGTCGTGGGGTAATGGGTTAAGAATAAGGGTGGGTTAAGGGGATTAGTCCTGTGCCTTAGTCCTTAGTGAGGGTTTCTAAGTCCTAAGTCCTACTACTAAGTCTAAGAGCTTCCAAGTGAAGGGGGGTGTCGGTCTTGCCCAGACCGACTGCAGAACGAACACAACCCTAGCCTAGCGCAGCTGAGAAAAACCCTGCCTGATGCCTGCCTATGGGGACAACCTCCTAAGTCCTAGACCTAGACCTCAGCTGCGCCCTAAACAATGCCCCTAACGGAAGGGGCTTAGACCTACCTACAACCCTAGTCTCGTCGGGAGGGGCCTTTCGGTCTTGCGCAGACCGAAAGACCCCAGGGCGGTCTTGCACAGACCGAATGCAAGGTCTTGCTCAGACCTGTCACTCCCCACCCCCGTCCCGTCCCGTCCCAGGTCCTCCAGGGGGTTGCGGGGGCTTAGGGCTTAGGGTTTTAGGGTCTCAGTGGAGTTCGGGTTTTAAGGCTTTTAGGGTTCAGGGTTTAGGGTTTAGGCCTTAGGTTTTAGGGTGTAGGGCCTTAGGGCCTTAGGGTTTTAGGGCAATCTTAGGGTTTCTTAGGGCGAAGGGTTTGGGGTTTAGAGCCAGGGCCTAGGGTTTAGGGTTCAGGCCCTAGAGTCTCAACCCTAAACCGGGGTTCTGTGGACTTAAATGAAGCTCACTGTAAACTAACTATAAACCCTTCCTGGACCCCTTACTTTATATCCTGACCTAAACCCCAAAACCCTGGCCCAAGTCCCGGACGGACTCGTTCCACGTGGAAGTCGACGATGAAGGGCATGGAGCGAGGCTTGAGGCTTGAAAGGTGTTAGGGCTTTATGTTTGGGACCTGGCATAGACCTAGACCTGGGCACAGACCTGGTTTAGGGTTTCTTATGCTTGAGGCATGGAATAGACCTGCGGTGTGGCGGAGGTTCACAAACCCCGAAAAAATAAAAAATGCCCCAGGGGCCCGCCCAGTACACTGTTGGATGAACTTGCCATGGCTTCAGTTTTGCAGTAGTACAGTTGCAGTAGAATTTGCCTGGGTTCTCGCACCACAAGCGGGCTGTGAAGCTTACATGCCCGTGTAGCATCACTTTCCAATGTCCGTTTGGCTGATTGGTAGCACCTACGCCCAAAAAACCCTTGCCCAACTCACAGAGTCCATGCTGACCTAACGCTCCTGCATGCTCATGCGCTCAATCTAACACGTTATCTGTGGGGATGCTGTGTGTGCGTGCGCACTTTACCTTGTTTCCAAGGCACTCGCAGCCAGCTTCCCCAGCTGGATGGCCGAATGGTCATCCTGGACATCGGTTAAGCGCTTTATGATGGGTTCTGGCTCATGGGCTGACTGTGTGAGAAAGAGAGAGAGAGAGAGAGAGAGAGAGAGAGAGAGAAAGAGAGGAAGAGAGAGAAAAGAAAGAAAGAGAGAGAAAAAGAAAGAAAGAGAGAGCGAGAGCGAGAGGAGGGGGGGGCAGAGGGGAGGGATGTAGGCTTCCCGTTGGGCTTGATTCAGGGCTTCGGGATTCACAAAATTCTTCGATCTTACAAACGCTTCCGATGCAAATGCCTGCATGAGGGCGTCCACAGCCAGCAGCAAAGCAGTGCAGCAAACCTGCCATGAAGCTGAACCCCCGAGCTACTCTGAGATCGGCCCTCCAACGCAAGGGACGGCATCTTCCTAAGCCTTTTGGTGGCACCCTCCTGAAAGACACTACAGTGTCGCTTCAACGCGGCAGTTGACGCCAGGCGCAACCCTTGCTAGCCCCAGGCAAGTTCGCTATCAAACCAAACGAGGATTAAAGATATGCTCAAAAAAAGATCACACCAAAGAGCTTGTGGGAAGTGTCGCCAATACGAAGACTCCTTTCCGCGCCTGCATCGGGCTGCAGCGACGCAGCTCCTCGCTTGTCAGCACGCTGGCGAGACGCTCTAACACCTGGCTTTTGAGGCTCTCTCGGGAACTCATCTCGCACGCCCGATAAAAAAGTGCGCATGAAGTGAACCGAAGTGCGAGTTTCAACAAGCAAGGCGTGCTCTTCCAAGCCTGATCCAGATGATACAAACCTCATGCCTGATCACACCCTACAATGGCGTTTTCTTGCGAACCCGTGACGGCAATTGGCCTATTCTTGTCTTTTGGTCGAGTCTATATGGCCTGTAGAAATGATGGATCTTATGTCAGCACTGCCAGGGGGGTGCTTGAGGTCGCTGATACTGCGGGAACTCTCGCGAAGCCTTCCAATCCTGAAGGCCGAGCACGTGTGATGCATAGTGAAAGAGGGGCCCTCCTCTGCATGTTGGAGGGGGGGGGCGGGGGTGGTCACACTCTTCAACGTTTCCGGGCTGCATTTTTTGGAGTGGTGGTCGAGAATTTTCATGCTCGTGGAACATGTATTGCAGAGACCCGAATCGCCCAACATCTGGGGGATTCAAGTCCCGACTCCTCATTTGGTTGGCATATGTTAGCAGGATGGAGGTGCCTACTCGAAGGATGCAAAAATTTTGGACACTTGAACGGAAGTCTTAGCTGGACGTAGACCTGCCCAGAGAAAATCCCGCAGCCCTCCCTGACCTGCCGCTGTAGGAGTTGGTTGTCCAGCAGGCCACACGGCAGCGACTTGCCCTCCCACCTCATCGGAACGCATCGGAACACAAAGCCCTGTATAACACATGAAGCGCCGGAAACTGAACATCATCCCAACGTCGAGAGCAAGAACACCGAAGAAGACAGCCCACACCGATGCGATGCCCATAGATGATGTTTTAAACTAGATGGACGGATGCACGCAGGGGCACCGGAACACGGGCAATGATGGTGAAGAAATGTCTTGCTATTTCTGCAGCAGAGCCACCGGATGACGTCAGCAAGCCGCTTGGCCTCCTCCATCCCCGACGGTTGCAGTACAGCCTGTCCACACATTCAAATGTTTTGCCGCCAGTGCAGTGTTTTTACTCTGGCTAGCAACCACATCATGCCGCTGCTGTTGCTGCTACGGCGGCTCTGCCGAGCATCGCACTGTGCGTAGCTCAGAAACTCTAACCCCATTCGTCACCACAAAGTAGCATGAATGAACAAGCCCTCGACATCGTACGAATAAGCAGTGCCCCCTTTGGCTTCTCCCGGCTTAGACGTGGCAAGCTGCTTCGCTGCTTCAGAGGCCCCCAGAGCCTGAAGAGCTGCCTCGTCGATTCGGTGGAGGACGTAGGCTTCCCGGTAAGTGGAGCAAAGCTTGCAGCGATCCGCATCTGGAGGATTGCCAGCTTGCCATGAGAGCCCTGGAGATCTTTTTTCCCAAGGAGTACCAGGGCTACCCAAGACCAAGAGGGGGCTCAAGGACAGGCACCAGTCTCCAGGATGGCTCTGGATTCTTGAGGAAAACTTGCGATTCTGTCAGATCACACCGAAATACAGGCTCCCAAGGTTGTTACAGTTACATACTTGTCAGTGCTGAGATGCGCAAACGCACAGGGTCAAATTCATCCAGCAGCTCGTTGGAGAGGACCACGGAGTAGAGTGGGGACCCTTGCGCATCAGCACTCAGAAGTTCTCTCCTGTAGCACGGAAGCAAAATCTCGATATTTGGCGCAGGTACATTGTCAACAAAAACAGAAACAGAAACATAAATATGAATATCGCTCTCCCTAGCTCTCCCTATCTGCATTTTTCATCTGCATATGTATATATAGATAATACCCACATGCACGGGCTGGGTTCAAGGTCATGTGTGTTGCCCTGGCGCATGGATTCAAGACAACAAAGCAACCCCAGGCAAAGCCGAGCATCATCTTTGAAGCTCCTCGCGCATCGCTGCTGTCCACACGCAGCTTCTCACTTTCCACAAACTTTGCGCAGGTTCGCTTCTGCCTCGACCAGGGAGCATGCAGCTTACGCGGCAAGCAACAAGCTGAAGTCCGAATTTGATGTAACGCTGAGCTGGAGCAAGGCACGGTAGAAGCCCTGAATCCGGAATCTTAAGAATCCATGTGGGGAGTTGAGGCTAAATGGTCCGACTGGCGAGTGATCGGGGCGGCATGCAGCCCACGAAAACATACTCACATAATCAGGCACGGCAATAGGGCCGCAGCAGGATTCTCTCTCTGCTGTTAATCGCTAAATCCACAAGTGGATAGGTTGATCGGTCCAGGGGCGTCTGCTGCAGCGCTTGGGAGCGCTCACCGATGACCTGGAGCTGGCAGCGCTGAATGCTAGTCCGTGCCAGACCCCGCGCTGAACATCCCCTTTACCCTGCCAAATGAGCCGAAAGCTTTTGTTACACACAAGCTGTTCTTGGTCATGTTGTGTAGCGAAGTAGCCTTGCAAGAGCACCCGGTAGTTGCATCTGCACTTCGCTGAAATCGCTTCGTCCGGGGCACGTAGCGGCGCAAGGCTTCGTAGAAGTCCGGGTGCGCGTTCGACGCGTGCGTGAGGATGTCACGGGCCAGCATACCAGTGCCTCCTTTCAAGGTTTGGAGGGGGTTTCCTCTGGGTGCCTCAAGGCAGCGGATTGGGTTGTATTCGTGTGACACTCGCAACACCCTCAGCCGTAGCAATGCGCCACATGTGGTCCGGCCTCCAAACTCGATCACGAAGAACCTCGTCAAGCAAGAACGTCTGGCACACAATTTCCTCCCTACACAAGGCCTATAGTCAGAGCTCCTGAACTCCTACACGCACCTCTGTTTCCGCTGAAACCAGCCCAAACCCTAAACGAAGATTTCGAAACCTTTTCCGCAAGAGCACTCCACACGAGCCCAAGAAACCCTTAACATCCCTAAACTCTACTGCGCCGGGCGTCGGCGCCGGCCGGTCCATCGAGATCCACATGCTCACCAAGCGGTCTGCGATCACTTGGCCGAAGAAGGGGCTGAGGGACCTGGCGTAGCGTTTAGGATCGACAACTTTGGGAAGCTGCAGAATTTCAGATCTACAGCTATGGGAGCTTGTGTTTCTTGTTTTGCTGCTTTGGAGCCAAAGCGAAATTGATGCGACGAGGGCAAACGAATCTGAATTGCGTGCGTTAACACCCGCTTGTGCCAACTTGGGTCCACGTCCAGTAGTTGTTATACATTTGAGGTGGAGGGCTCAGATTAGCCTAGCATATCCGCTTGGAAAAGTCATTAAGGAGGTATTCTGCAATGGGCCAGCCTCTTTAAGTCTGAGCCCCCAATCCCGAGACACAACAAAAGAATCCGACTTGCGGACTGGTCGGCATGGGCTGGGTTGTGTAGGAGTTGAAGTACTCCAAGTTCGAGGCATCCTGGCAAGTGTAGATCCCCTTAACACCTTTAACAAGCGTGCTGGTCTTGAAAACCTATGATCCCAAAACCCCAAAACGCTTGCCTACTCCGGCTTCCGTTCCGCCCCACGGGCGCGCTGTCGTTGAGGGGAACAACAAAAAGGAAGTGGGGGCTCTCTGAGTGGCGGGCTTGGGGCCTTGCAGGAAGGATTGCGTTTAGTGCCTGTTGAAGGTTTTGGTTCAGGACCTTCGAGCTGGGCGGCTTTGAGACAACCTGGGTCAGCGTGACGAACCCTCAAGGTCCTGCTTCGTGACCGGCTCGGAGTGTAGAATCCGTCCAGTTGAGTAGTACCTTCTCTTCAGAGACTTTCATGGGTTCAAGGGGCTGGGCGTTCTTGCTGTTCAGGATGCTGCGTGCTCGATGGAGAGTGATCATCACTTTTGCTTTGGGAGCTTTACAACGCCCGGAGGGTGCGAGGTAGTTCCTTCAAGTTCAACACTCAAATCCTGCGTCCTACGTCTAAACAAACCTCTTAAAATTGCCAATAAAAAAAAAAACAAAAGCCCAACGGCAAAGTGAGAAAACTTGGCAAAAGCTGGCCGAGCACCCGAAGTCGGGACCATACTGGGCATCGGTGTAGAACTCCTGCTCCAAGCTTGGAAGTGTGCGGAGCCAGGCGGGGGAGGGTTTCCGGGAAGTCTGTGATTCCAGCTGGGCATGGCACCCTTCTGTGCAAACGAACCTTAAAAAGCCTTCCGACGTAATTGAAATCGGGCACCGAGATGCAAACCTTACTGTTGGAGTTAGTACTGAACAAACACACACACGCACACACAACCACGAACTGAACCGCGGGGCACTTTCGCCAAGCCCCCCCCCCTCACTCCCGGCTGGCTACATCTAACGCGCATAATCACAAACTGCCCCGAAGGTGGAAGCATCCTGAAAAGTGTAGAAGTTGTCCAGTGTGGCTGCAGAATTCCAAGCTGTAGCCACGGACAGATACGCAAGGAGAATCCAGCAAGTCATCGCGGTCCTGCGTTTCACCTACAGAACCGCATCTATGAATCTCACCCACTGATCGTCACACTGTGAGGCTACAGTGCAAAGATACAGTTGGCCCATTCGGTAACTGCCTTCCTGCCGAAGCTCTCTGAATCAGGCCAACTTCTGCCCAGTGCCCTGGGGTCCATGCCGAAATCAACACTGACGACGTTTCGGTCAAGACCCTGTCCAGTATTGCTCTCGCTGCCACACGGAGATTCGATGCGCCGCGGCCGTGGAACAGCGTGCATCGTCGGATTTGTCTACGCTTCGCAACTAAAGCTAGTGAATGGGCGATGAAGACTCGGGCCGGAGGGTTCCTCGCTTGCTACTGCTGGAGAAGCTCAACTACTTTGACTGAGTTGGCAGTTGCAACCGGGGCCTCCCTACATTATGGAGAGTCTTGGGCATGGCTCCGACTTGGACGGAGTTCTGGCCAGAGCACATCGTCCTAAGCTGCGGGGCCGCACTTGTATGGCCTGAGCCTCGAAAGAATGCCTCCATGCTCTTCATTTGACCACCCTTTTCCCGTGAACGCGAGTTGCGGTATGCCACATATACATGTCCTGCTAAAACCTAAAAACCGGAAAACCCCTAAAACCTTAAAACCTTAAAGCCCTAACACCCTAAACCCTGAAACCCTCAAACCCTCTCGCTCAACCCTAAACGTTCCTCAACCCTGAACCTTAAACCCCATACCACCTCCAGGCGCCGTGATCACAGTTGTTGCAGGAAGGAGGCCGGCGCAGCCTCAGAAAGTGCCGAAACTCCGTGGCCGCTGGTAACTTGACATGTGGTACGCAAGTAAGTTGATAGGCCAGGGAGGGCCTCGACAACCCGCGCCTCCAACAGATGCCCGAAATTGGCCCGAAACAAAGAAATGGCCACTCAAAGAAGTACAGAAAAAAAGGCCCCTCCGCATTCCTTTGAAACCGCACCTCAAAACCGGTCCACTCGGCCCTGGGGAGTCACTACACCTCACGGCCCAGTCCCCCTCCCCCTGCCTGGCCCATGGTTCCTTGTAGGCCCAGAGGTGGTAGAGGTAGGCAGACCTGACTACCAAAAGATAGCACTTTCCTCCATGGTTCTTCCGGCTTTAGGAAACACCCGGCAGCGATCCTAAGCACCTCAAAGCTTTTCATCTGGGGACCGTTGCAGCGGCAGCCGGGCTGCCAACATTTAGGCTTCTCAAATGCTTGCGCATTTATGGAACCATGCATGAGGACAGCATGAATGACTGTCCGCGGACCTGCATTATACTTTATATACATATTATATATATATATACATATATATACATGTATATGTATGTATAGCGAAAGAGAGATCGGGAAAAAAAACAGAGAAAAAGTGAGAGAGACTGAGAGGTTCTCGTCTTGGCGAACTCTGAGAGCGAAGCACGAGCAGCTCGGTGGGCTTCCGCACCACATGCACGAGCTTCGCCTTACGTTGGAACTCTGTGATAGCAGAAGTCGCTGCAGGGCAGAGGGAGGGACAGGACTCCATGACATCGACGTGTTCAGCTGCAGCCCAGCTAGCTTCCCCCCTTTGAAGAGGGAATAGAAAACCATGCATGACACGGAGCATCAGCCAGACCATGCAAGTTCGAGCAAGTTCTGAAGAGCGTAACCCTCTTACTCCAGGGTCCTAAATTAGACCCTGAAAGTCGGACCGATAAGCTCTTTCTGAAATGTGCTATGAAACTGTCGTACCAACACCATATGTTGATATACGTAAATGACTGTTTCTCGCATATTGCAATTATCATCTAAGCCCTCTTACAGCTACGATGCATGATGCAGTGACACCTGGAATCCTCCAGTGCCAAACAAAGCCACGCGCCCCTCCAGAAGAAGGTCATGGATCTCAGTGTGGCAAGGGCATGGGCATAGGTCTTTGACAGATTTCGGGCCAAGACGGGGTAACAAGACAAGTTGATCGGACCACTCGACTGGATGCAAAATCTCCGTTCTCATGCTTCCTGGTCGACTTGTACATGCACTCATCATCCCACTAGCTGGACGCGTCGCAAGTGTATTGCTGATGCTGAACGTTCTTGAACGGATGCCCTGACATCACAAAAACACGTTGATATTCTGCTCGCTGGTACACACGCTCCCTGCCCCCTTACAAAACCTTAAAGCACCTGAAGGCCATGCAGATGCAGGCAGCCTCAGGCTCAATCATCTCGTTGGGTGAGATCATGAGCACCAGGCGCCCGCGGCTTGTCTGACACACAAAAGGGATATTCAGGCTTTGTCGGCGTTCTGCTTCTTCAACGACTGCTACTAGTAATTTTCTGCTGCTTCTTTTGGGGTTGAGGGCGGTGAACATTGTTAGCCGGCGAGTGAACATCAAAACAACCGAGCTCTGGACTCAATCGTGACCCCCGCTCCTGTAATCTCAACCTCCAACAAGAAAAAAGATCAAACAAACGCAAAACAAACTACACAAACACCTCAAACCACCACAAACCAAGGCCCCCCCCCCCCGCCTCCCCACCCTCCTCTTGCCCTGGCACCCGGCGCCTGGTACTGGCGCATGCTCCGTTGGAACCCAGGGCTTGTCCGAGTCCTTCGTTGATCGGGGTTTGGCCCTCAAAATGGGATGGGGGGAGGGGGGAGGGGGTTAGTGCCTGGTTTAAGTTGGTTGGCTTGGGTTGAGAAGAGTACAGTGCAAATTGAAAACAGAATTGCAGCCCACGGCCCAAGTCGCACCCTTCGCAGCACTATCAGGCAACAAGCGTCCAAAGAGTGCGCAGCCAGTCGCCACTTCCGGTGTCTGTGCGGGCTTTGCACAAGATTCAGGGATTTAAGACACAATTTGCCCAGAACGTGTGGCAGATTCACAAAGGGCAGGCCAGCAAAATGGCGCACTTCAATTGCATGAGCAAAAGGTCTTCGGACAGAAGGGGGACTGGTGTTGAAGCTATACTTCACCCTCTTCATGAGAATGCACGCATCCCCTTTTGAACAGCTATGATAAGAAGACCGTGTGTTGCATAACCCTGCATAGGCCTTGCAAGATGCTGTACTGAGCTGGAAAGGCAGGGGGGCGCACACATCATCACATCATCAGGCGTTGAAAGTGCAACACCCCGTTATGGACACCCATCGATGTGCATTTACACCTAGCGAGTTCAAGACCTCCCCCCCCCCCCCCCCCCCCCCCGCCTATTCTGCCCACTATGGGAGTTTCAATGCAATTAACCCCGGAGTCAATCTCGGATTGCAAACCGACCACTTTTTCATGCCACTTGTTTAAAGGGCCTTCAGCTCCCAGAACCCAACGGCGGAGCAGCTGGGAGCCGTGCAGCGCCAGTGTAAGCCTGAAGGGCTCCGAGGTTCACAACGCAGGCTCTGCTCAGCATCTACAGGACTTGCGTTTTGCAATGTGCGCGCAGGAATGTCAGCCCGAGTCCTCTATACCCCAACCCCTTGTGCTGCATGGGAGTGCTCCCGCACCTCCAACACCCTCAGAAGGCGTGAGAAGGGAACAGTTCAGGTCGGAGCGCGTTGTGCCGGACTTGTGGTAGGAAACGAAAAGGAATCCTCAGCGACAGGCAGAGGCCCAGTTTAGGCGAATATGCATGGACAGTTTCATTGCGTGATGCTCCTGTCCCACAAACTCTCCAAACATATTCAAACACCCTTGAAAGCAGCATCAAGCAACCCACATGCCGTCAGAGCTGCGGGTGGCATTGGCCCATCTGCTCTGCCTCAAAGCTTTCGGAAGGCAGTCAGGTTCCTTCAGGACTGGGAGTCCAAGGCGGATGTAGGGAGACGGTAAGGCTAGTTGAAACTTGCTGAACCCAATGCAGCTTACGCGAGCTCGCACAGAGGCCTGCGCCAGAGCAACGGCCTGGTCTGGCTCGACAAGTATATCAGCACTATGACCATAATGATGATGCACATCTAAGAATTCGCTTTGCCAAGTTTGTGGCATTCGGCCTAGCACCTTCGCCTTGGAGTGTGCAACAGCATGGGCGTAGGCATAGCACGCATACTCTCGCTGATCAGCTTTCATTCCTCCATGCGTGCAAGGTGCCGCTCCTCTGGCGTCGGAGTCGAATCCAACAGTGACGCCCAGAGGTCAGACGTGAAGTTGGCTGGCTCCTGTGCCGGGACTTCATTTGTCGATTGGGATGCCAACGACATAATCCCAATTCCTTAACCTAACAGCTCTACAGTACAAGTCGTGGCGTGTGCCTGAAGCCTACTGCTCGGCCGAACCCGGGGCTCGCGTTTTGGGGGAGTTCTTTTGGACCGCAGTGCCAGCCGGTGCCAGTTCAATTCTCCGACATCCGCACCCAAGAAAGCCAAGCACGCTTTGCCTCGAGACCCGAGCAGCAAAGTCGAGAATGCCAACCCTGGAGCTCCTCTGCTGAGTTTGTGGTTTCACTGGCACATGCCAAAGGATTCCACACTTGGCATCTCTCTCCCGCAGAATGACACCAAACCCTTTCCTCAAGGTCACAAGACATGGCTCCGGGAAGCAGCTGCTGCTTCCAAAGCCATCATACCGCCGTGGGTCACAGCACGCCTGAGGCAGATTCTCAGATTCTCTTGTGCTTCTCAGATCCTGAACCCTTCGATCAGCAGTGGAATCGCCAACATGACGTGTCCGCTTCTCATACATTTCTTGCTTCGAGCTATCGTGCAATCTGGCTACAACGCTTGCCAAACTCCTCGCCCCAATCCGCACCGCAACATACATAGTTGAAACCGAATGCGATAAGCAAGAGAAACATCCAGAACACATGCCGAAACCAGACCTGCTTGTGGGCGCCTCTGAAGCTCAGGGGTGTGCCTCGTCCCCCAAACTGACACTAGATAGCCAAGGCTCAGACATGCCAAAGACCCTTCAAAGCCCCAAAGTCCCAAATCCTCCAGAGCCCCAAAGTCCCAACCCAGCGGCAGCCTGCCAGAGGGCACCGGCCGACAGCAACGGCAGCCAGCGACGTGCCACCTGAGAGTGTGAGGCGCGCTCTCCTGAACCTAAACCACGGAACCCTGCTGCATGTGGGGCGGCTGCGGGCAGCTGAGGATTCAAGAGGGAGCTCCTGGGGACCTTGACTTACCAGAGATTTGCGTGGAGGCTCCGGTTTTGCCCCGGCTGCCGCCTTCCTCCGACATACACCACCAGTGAAGGCTCCGAAGTTCCGTGACAGCTTCTTGATTGCCATCCGACTTAGCTGCTTAGATCACGCCCGGGGTAGTTTTGTTAGTGGGCTTCGCGGCCACGTGGCAGCGCAGGATTCAGGCTCACCCTGCTCGTCGAAGCGGTAGATTTGCTGCTCGAAGGTCTCTCCTTCCGGGAGCGGGAGGAAGGATCCCCCCAGCAAGAGCCCTGCGCGTCCTCGAACCTCAGAAGACTCAATCAGGAGCGGCTCAGAAGGCTGTGTCGGAGCAGGTTTTCCCTGCTCTCACGTTCCAGTGTGGGGATTTTAGCGGCTTTGAACAGGCTGTTCGCAGAGCAGCGATGCAGACTACCATGATGTCAACATATGCCAACCTTGCCGCTAGAAGCACCCATATACTCTGCATTGCTCTATTCTGCGGCTGCACTCCTCTTTCGTCGATAGCCACCCTAGCGGCATCACCAGATCTGAAAACACATTGGATGTCGCTGCGGTATATTTTCCTATACACAAGCCTGGCTCACGCCATTCTCCAGCACCAGCCATTCGGGCCGCGGCAGCAATGAGCCACAGCGATGGCACACATCCATTCAGCCGCGCAGGATAAGCAAGGCATGACTGTGTACAGTCATATGTTGAAGACAGAAAGGGAACATCCGCTGAGAGCTAAACAACGGTCAAAGCTCGGCTGGGCTCTTCGCATCTGCAAGCCGACATGACATAGAGCAGTACTGCAGGCAGCTGCAGTTCCATGACTGTCCCAAAACCGACATTCAAGCCGTTCAATCCTGCTGCCCCTGCACACAGCACTGTTCCGGTAACCTCTGGACGAATGGCATGGAGAGGCACCGAATCCACCCAAAACTCTACAAACCCGATAAACCCCCGTGGTTTGCCAGGGGCCCCGACGTCCAATTTCGACGTCAAGGTGAGGAGCGGGTCCTTCCGATTGCCAGGGCCGATTCTCTTGAGCGAAGCCTATGCGAGCTAAAGTTGGGCTCGACATCATTCCTACACGAACCATGGTTCGTTTGCATTGGGCAAACACAAAACCTGACAAAAATCGACACAAAAAAAAATGCCACAACCCCTCCCTAGAAGCGACTCCGTAAGCTGATGTCCACAATATCTGGGCATTCCTTCTTTCCAATCTGCTCCCTGCCTGGAAGCCTGCGGAAAACAGTCGTGGCTCACGCTTTGCGTCGAGAAACCCGGAGCCGAAAAATAGCGCACAGCAAATTCGCGGGGAGTTTAAACAAAATTGGGCTCAGAGATGCCTGCGACGCCTGTGCATCAACGACTTTAAGCACAAGCCACTCGCGCCAGCGGCACTCTGCTCAGCCCTCTGAAGGCAGCTATTAAACCCTATATATAATTAGAACATTCACATAAGTTGTCACATAGCTGCTTCTGGCATCCAGGCTCTTCCACTCAGCCCAAGACCTCCTCGCCTACGCCAACTGAGATTTTGGCAGCTTTCTTCCGCAGCCGGTCGACGACGCGTCCCTTGGTCTGTGCCATGACGCTGGCCGGTCGTCCCTGCTCTGTGCGAAGCCGACGAAGGTACTTGAATATGGGGATGATCTCCTTCTCGCGGTTCTGGTTCCGGTCCGGATGGTACTCCATCATGAGCCTTTTCAGTGTCTTGGTTAAGGTCTCCTTGCCTTGGTTCGTTGCGGCCTGCAACTCCTCATCAACTTCCTTCAGCATGTCCAGAGGCTGCTCAGCTTCCTCCAGCGCACGTAGAGCCTCTTCCCTTGCGGGTACATTTTTGGGGATCTGCAAATCCCCGCCTCGCTGATCGCCTCCCAACTCGTCAGGGTTGATAGGTGTTGCAGCCATCAAAGCTCTCAGAATGTCACGCATGGCGTCCGGATCAGTCACAGCTTCATCTGAGACCGGCCCTTCTCGCCTCTCGCCTCCGAGCAGGACAGATGGAGCACCTCGAAGATTTCGAACTTCGGCCTCTGGGTTCACCATGGTGGTGCCTCAACTGCGCTCGAGTACGGACCGTGCTTCGGAGCCACGACATTGTGATGAGGTACTCTCTCCCTCTCCTGGAGTCCGTCTTCCCTCCCTATGTCCTCCCTCTGAGTTTTATAAACAAACTAACATGGAAATTGTTGCTGTGCCATGGTGGTGCGATGGAATACTCGTAGTCCGCTGATGAGGGGCAGCGACTGGGTGCCAGGAGCTGGCAGATGTGCCAAGCCCATGTTGTCAATCAGTGCGAGGTCGCCCCTGTCCCACTCTACCCGAAGAATACTTCGGCTCCGGGTTTCCGGGTCCATGCCGTCAATGGCCTTCTGCAGGCAGTCCTGCACAGGCAAAGCCGGCAAGAAGCGAAATTGCGATGGGCAGTCGTCGGCCGGCCCGGCAAGAACTCGCTGAAGGGAGTACCGCGCGTCGTTCACAAGCTTGTCTCCGCGGGTCATGACATTTGCAAAAGCTTCCAGCACTGCATTCAAAGGTTGCTCCTCCACAAAGCCCAAGCAATATGTTTGACCCAAGTGGAAACACATCGTCTTCTCTCCGGTGAAGGGGTGCTTGTACACCAAAGGCAAGAGAGACATCTGCCCTTCGCCCTGCTGGAGGTCCTCACCAACACCAGACACAAACCACAGGCGCTCACAAAGAGCGCGAAGATCCTCGTCCATGGACTCCAGTAGCTCATTCAGGCCCAAAAACAAGGTATCCCCACCAGGTATGGCATGCAAATGGTGCATCGTCTGAGCCGCAAACGGTGCTTGCAGCATAACGCCATCCACGTGCCAGCCACTAGTGCCCACCGACATGAAGCCTTCACGGTCGTCGTTGGCCACACGGAGTAGCCGAGGATCTGGCGACTTCGGGTGCGGCCGATGGAGGATGTGCTCCAGCGAACCTAGATGCTCACTCAACTTGATGTGGTCTTCCGGCATCAAGTCCGTCTGCCCGTGGAAAATCAAGAGTCGGTGTTTGTACATATCCGATCGGATTTGTTCCATGACCGCGGCGTCATCCAGCGCATCTTTGACACTGAAGCCCCGCACTGAGGCACCGAATGCGCAGCCTTCCCGTGGCACGACCTCATACTGGTTGGAGGCTGCCACTTGCACCTGTGGCCCTCTTCTGCCATAAAGACCAAGTGGCCTCTTGCGTGCCTGCAGGCGCCCCCCAACACCTCCAACACGTGCAGTGAGGGCTGCTAGCGTGGCTGCCGCGCTGGCAGCGGCGAAGGACTGCAGTGCCTTGCTGCGCCGTGTTGGCGTTGCAGCTGCCGCCCTCGTCAGTGGCGGAGACGCTGGCAACGACCAGGTCCCAAACGGCTGCATGCTCTGCCTTCAGCAGACCAGGCGATGCCACGCCATTGCAAAGTGTGGGTATTGAACCGAATGTGGCTTTCGAGCTTAGACTAGGTACATGCCAAACCAGAATGCATCAGCCGAACTCGCATGCCGGGCGGCATTCCTACATAGTTTTGAGCGGGACTTGAGCTGTAGCCATGGGTTGAGAGCTCAGAAATTGGGATTTGGACCTGCGGCTTCGATTTCCGCACTGGACACAGAGCGCATGTGAAACACTCGATGGCACAGCACACGGTGAAGGAGACACTGCTACGACTGCTGGCATCGCCACCGACCTCCTGCTGAATCGGGATGGGATAGCCTCAGCTCTGCCACAAGAGAGGAGTGAGAGGGAGGGAGAAAGAGCAAGAGAGATATTAGTTACTTTAATATATACATGTGTGTCTATGACCCCGGGCTCCCACACCCAACGCCTTCGCGTTCCAAAAATGCCGACAGTGATGCTTCTTTTGAACCACCCGAGGCCCTAAACTCTCGAACCCGAATGAAACCCTACTTGTAGCCCCAAACAACCCTTGAACCCACACCCAAAACCCGAAACCCCACCTTAAACCCTAAAACTCCACCACCACACCACAGGCCGGGGGGGGTTTTCCAGCCCAGCACTTCAGAATCATGTATATATAATATATATATATATATATATATATGTTTTCTATATATAAATATATCTATATCTATATATATATATATATATGTTTGCAATTTTCTATTTAAACTCACACAAAAGCGTTTATATGTGTATATTTAGATGCACTTATGCATTTACTTCGTCTGTGTATTGCTTGAAAATAAGCTGTTTTCTGCAATCTGCGTCACTTTCGCGTCGAGTTGAGTTAGGAATGCTTGCCGCGTGCACGTCTGGCGGGCCCCCTTGCTCCAGATGCATATGTAAGCAGAATATATATATCTCTCTCTAGTAGAAAATATATATATACACACATGTATATATGTATTTCTTTATTCATGTGTATGTGAACACATTTACAGAATAAGCACATGCAAACGGATGTAAACATATGTAACCCTACGATGTCATGAAGCACTCGGTGAGGTGGATCCTTTGATTGCAAGTTATGCCGACGGCTTCTGCTGTGTCGCAGCCTTGGCATCAGCCTACATCACCACAAGCTTAGTGCCTAGAGACATACCGATTGAAGATACCGCTAGAGTACTTCACGCACTCAGCCCGTCGCCCATGAAGGCAGCTAGGCTGGCGGGGAACTGCAGGGCCTCAGCTGTGTGAGAATCCCAAAACAGGTCCCTGCAATACCGACACAAAAAACTCCCGAGAGCGAAAACTCCAGCTGCAACCCGAAATTCAGAGAGCAACTCAGGAACTTTCCAAACCGCGAGCATCCAACCACACTCACTCTCCCAAGCCGAAACACCCACAGATGAGCGCAGCATAGAATCTGCAACAGACTGCACAAGGCTTTAATCCAGCTTCCGTGCCCATTTCCAAGGCCAGATAACTTAGACTTCCAAGCCCAAAAGGCTTGAAGCTGTCAACTCAGCATGCGCAACCAAATCCTCTCAAACTTCAGTTGGACAATACAGGTGCCCTGCCGGAAGCTGCAGCGGGGCAACGTCCTGGGCAGAGCTGAGGACGGGGTTGTTCCCGCCGTCGTCATAAAGGCAGGGCCGCTGCTTGGGGGCTTGGCGTGGCCTGAGTTTAAGGGCAGTCATACACCAGTCATACGCCTCTTGTCAAATTAGCAGCCGTTTCCATGTGATACGGTGGCCGCAAGTTACCTGGCCGTGAGTGCTTCGCTCTCTTGTCCAGGACTCACTGCTTGCACTGCTTGCACTGGTACGACCCTGAGGAAGCTGGGCACCGTGCCACGTTTTGTACCTGCCATCTCTGTGGAGAAAGTCTAACCATTCTTAGGGCTTCTGAACGGGCTCCAGCATTGCCAGAAATGCAGCTGAACGCGGAGTGCTTGCCCCCGCATGGAGGAGACTGCACGCATGGCAATGCGAGATAAATGGCCCTCTCTGTCTGACACAACCACCACGACCTGTTGGCTATAGGAGCCTTAGCCTCAACCTCTTACCCATTCCCTTTCAACCCTGCAGGATCCATCAACTCTCCAGGGACATCCGCCTGCAATCCCACTGCCACCAAGGCAGCAGACACGGCCAGGGAGGAGACGGGGGCGGACGCGGCCTGGTGCACTTGTGCTAATTTATTGCCCTCCGACTGGCCGAGCTGCTCTGGCCCAAGTGCTTGCATGATCTGGTTGCCGCTTCAAGCTTCACCGCCAGCAGTGCCGCGTCACATGGTTCTTTTTCCCTGCCGCGGCGACAGGTTCTGTACATGGCTTTGCAGCCAACGGGACAAGACCGCAGCAAAGGTGAAGTGGACCTCAACCTGAACCCTAAGCCCTAAACCGTAAACCCCAAGCCTTCCCATAACCCTAGCCTGGCTACCTGGCTTAGACAATGGATTGTGTCCCGTGAGCCGGACTGTACAATGTCCGCCGTGAGACTAACCCGGAACAGGGTCGCTTAAATCTCCTGGTTTGTCGCAGAAGCATGTTTTCTGCCACAGGAGCTCACTGGGCTTAGGGTTTAGGGTAAGCATTGAAGGAGTTTGGGTTGGAGAGGGACTGATCTGTGTACATCCAACCGGGGATATTGTGAGCACAGCCCGAAACTTCCTGCTCTCCTCGAAACAGGCTCGGCAGGGCCAGAGATTGTTGGGTAGACAAGAGTAGGGGACGAGGGAATGCCCCCGAAGCAAGTGGGAAAAACCTGACACAATACTGGCTCTTGATGCGCATACTTGCTGGGGCCACAAACCACCGACAAGTGTAGGTAGGGCCTATTCCCTCGCTCGCTACCGGCAAGTCTACCCAGCGCGTTGACGCCACAACGGGCAGCATGGGTTGCATCGATGTGAATTCCAGAGGGGCACAGCACACCGGCTCAATCACGCATGGGCTGTGCCATGTCCTTGAGAAACAGGTTGCCAAAACGGTCGGCCTCCAGCCCAGCTCTGAAGGGGAAGATGAGCCTCTCGAACTCCTCTGCTGCCCAGACCGTGTACCAGCGTGGGTCCTTCAGCATCGTCTTGGCGACGTGGCGGCCGTACTGGGTCTTGGCCAAGAAGAGGAGGCGCTTGAAGTCCAAGGCGAGGATCATGGCTCCCTGGTCCTGCTCGGTACAACTGCACAGGGTCAGCACCTTCTCGATCAGGTAGCTGGTGTTCTTGTGCTGTGCGAACCTCACGACGTCCGCAATCAGAGTTTGGGCGATGATGTGGATGTGCCGTTCCTCACCATGCTCCAGGATGGACTGGATGACATGGTGCGCGAAGGAGTGACAGCACAAGTCCGACACATCCACCAGCAGCTCGTCCACGAGGTGGCCCACCTTGGGGTTCGTGCTGCAAAACTCCAAAAGACGACAAAAGATCCGGCACCCCATCCGGTTTTTTGCAACGGCCACGGCTGAACCCTGGATCTCCTGCACGATGAAACTAGAGCCGCCCACGGAGAGCTGCGTGATGGCCTTTTGGACCACGTAGTTCGCTTCCGGATGCTTGATGGCCTCCAAGACGTGTCCGGAAAGCTCGCCTGCAAGGGTGCCGGCCTCGCGGCCTGCGACCTCCAAGGCCTTTTGGACCACACGACAGCCCTTCTTGTCCTGGGATAGAGCCCAGACGTGGCCTCTCAGCTGGTCCAGCTCGCTTGCCTGCTCGAGCTGGGGGCGCAGCTCCTGCAGGGAAAGACCTGGGACGTCCACATGCTGGGCCAGGTTTTCCGCGCCGGCCCTCGCCTTGCGCTCTGCCGCACGCTTGCGGCGCAGGCGCCGGGCCGCAGAGGCGGACATGGATTGCATGGCCGTGGCAGTCAGGTCGTCAGCATCGTCGCAGGACGCCTCGGATGGGGCCGTGGACACCTCCGCCACTGAGGCGGAGACTCGCGGCGCGCAGCACTGCTCGGGCATGCGTACGTAGCCCCAGGCGCTCGGAACTTCCGAAGCTGAGCCTGCCATCTGTGGCACCGAGTGCATGGGCATGGGCGGCGGGGACTGCACCTGCACGGGCTGCAACGGCAGCATCTGGGGCATCTGCTGCATTGGCGCCTGCCACCACCCCTGGATCATCGACCCCTGGGTCATTGGGCCCTGCGCCATCGGCACCGAGGTCACCTGGGTCACTGGGCCCTGGGTCCCTGGTGCAGTCGGAGAGTAGAAGCTCATGCTGCCCTGCACGGGGTAGGCAGACATCTGGTCCGCGGGGACCACGCACCACATCACAGGCATCGGAGAATCCTCCTGCTCGAAACCCCAACTCATCTGGGACGGCACCATCTCGGGCTTGCTTGGGCTACAGGATGGTTGATTTTGATCTCAGACGGCAGGATCGAGGATGTACACCTTTGACAACAGTGGAGGAGGAGGATGTCGCCTCTTTGGATTCCTCCCCTCTGCCGGAGAACTTGAAGGCACTGGTGCCTAAAAGTGAAGATATGAAGCAACAACAAACATATGGGAGAAGTGCTTTGCATGGTGCCCTGCCACATCAAAGTCGGCTCCGCGAGAAGACCTCATCCTGGCGGCAAGGACGTCATTGCAAACGAGCTAGTTTTAAGGTGCTTCTGCTTAGGGGGGTATAGATGTGTAAGCGTATAGGCATGCCACTCCCCACGCCGCTTGAAAGTGATTTAGGGCGATTCTGTTAAAACAAGTTCCACGCACAAACAGTTGTGACATCGCCGTGCCCTGCAAAGTACAGTCGGCCCGAGAAAGCTCTTAGATCAGACAATGTTACAAGCTTGGGCGTCCAGCCCGAAGTGGGCAGTTTTCTCGCAAGGACTATGCATGGGTTGCAGAGCCTCTGAAAGCTTCAGCAAGCCACCGCTGGGGGGCCGCGCCTCTTCATGATGTACGTGCTGCCCAAGTGCCCAAAGCTCACGGACCTCAGGCAGTGTCCCCAAACTGCAAAATAGTCCATGCTTAAACCCCGCCCAAGCCCACCACCGTCCCAAACGTTGTAGACTGAACCATGACAAAGGCCGACTGGATGTGCCTTCCTTGTTCTGGATTGTTGGCTTGGCATCTCTGCTTCGGGCTTCTACCAGTTTGTGGATCGTAGCAAGTCAGGCTTGCAGCGGCAAGTCTTCAGCCCCGCACCCAAGCTCAAGTTCTTCAGCTGAAACGCAGTACTCCTGAATATTATGCAACCGCGCCCCCCCTAACCCTCAGAGAAGGAACCTCCCGCACAGCAAATCCTGAACTTGGACACCCTGCGGCAAGCTGAAGGATGTGATCTCGATGCCCCGCTGCTCAGCTACAACTGGCAGAGGAAGTTCTCAGAGGAAGGGCTTAGGGCTTAGGGCTTAGGGCCTATAGGGCTTTGGGCTTAAGGTTTAGGGTTTACGTTTTGCCTCCCGCCTAGCTGCGTAAATCACGACAGGGGAAAAAATCACAAGCGATCAGATGTGCAACTTCTCCCGCCTTGCCGCGCTAGCAGCCCGGCACTCAAGGTCCTCAGACCACGGGCATCTCAGCCCTGAACTATCCCTAAACCAACTCCGTCAAAATTTCGGGGTAAGACGTGAGACATTTTTTTGCTTTCAGGGCCGCAGGATGCTGCTAAGCATGGTGTGGGCGAGTCGGCAACGTCTCTACTTCTGCACGGAGGCTCCCATGCAACATTGCAAGGCCAGACTAGCTTTAAGCCCAAAAGCCACCTTAAGAACTGCATAGGCTGAAGCTCACAACATGGGCCCCGCAGCGGCAGCTGCAGCACGTTAAGACTTTAGCACTTTAAGACTTTGGTGTTCGGGAGTGAAGGCTTCCAGTTTTTCAGCAGTGTGTGGACTCGGTGCCAGCACACGACCTTTATCCAAAACACGCAGCATTGCTGCACGTTCCTAAGCCATCTTGGACCTGGGCGTGAACAGCGCGGGCACCACCGGCCAAATTGGGAGGACATTCTCCTCCAGTTCAAGCTTGTGTGATTTCTCGGGTGATTCCTTGGGCATACTGCCACATCGCTAGCTTCAAGCTTCTCACACCTGCCGCAATACGCCTCGAACGAGATCCTAGGGCTTCTACGGTGCTCGCTCAGACCAAACCCCAAGCCGGAAAACATCTCTCTCTTCGATGATGCCCTAAGGAAAGCCAATCCCGTTCACGTTCTTGGAATTATTTGCGCACGGCGAAAGTGATCAAGCCTCTTGAGAAGGCGACTAAAAGAGATGAGCGGCCCAAGTACCCTTTTCAAGGGATCCATGAGAAGCTGAGGTAGACGCAAAGTCGTCCGCCATAAGCTGAAGCACGTCTGAGTCCCACGGCCTCAGCTCTTCCGGTCTTTGGTGGCTCATGGGGGCATCTGCAACAACAGGTGACGTGCCAAGCAACATGACACTTACGCAGGATCTGGAATTCGGACGATTCGGAACATTGTACTACAAACCAAGAGTCGCCCCCTATGAGCATCTGAGCGTGCCTCTTCGAAGTTGTAACTTATCTGCCGATACAACTGGGGACCCAGAACACGACGAAAATGTACCAAACAGCCTCTGCAACTGAACCGCCCAACGAGCTTAGACTCTGCGAAAAAGCTGAGGCCAGCAACAGTACCTCCAGTGGCTTCATCAGCTCTTCCCTCAGTGGAGGGTTTCGCCACCCGCACTGCGCGCACACAAGCACCCGCTCCGCAGGGTTAAGTCGAGGTTTCCGGGAGAAGACACGCTACTGTGAGCGCATCACTCAGTGGAGGGTTTAGGGTTTAGGGTTTAGGGATCTTGAACAGCATCGCTTTGTTATGTATCGATTCCCGATGTTCGCAGCAACGCTTGCACCCGCAACTCTGTGCGCGAGCAACCGTCCAAAGGATGGCTATGATGGTGGCAAGCAGAACTTAGAAGAAATTTGACCCGTGCTTTCCTAAGGATTTCGGAGCAGGGCCATGGAACGGCATAAATCCATAAGCAATCGGCCAAACCTCAGCCACTGCCTCTAGCTACAGGAAGAGGCTTGGGCAAGGGCGAGATCTTGGTCTGCGTGAAGAGCTGCGCGCCACAGAGGAAGAAAACAAACACTCCTGAGACGGATCGGCAGGTCAGGGCTTGAGCTGGTGGCGAAGAGCAGGTGTGGAAGCGGGCCAAACCTTAAAGCCTACAAACCTGAATGCGCCCTGAGCCTCAAAACGATACAAGGGGAGATGCCAAGCTTGAACTCCACACCCATGCCATACAGAGCCTTCACGAAGTTTTCTGATGTGGGATTCTTGCCGGCTTGGAGCTTCATAGGCCAGGGCGGTCAGGGCAGCTTGAGGTGCTTGAAGTTAAAATTATAGAGCTTACATTGCCTCTTCTCTTTACTTACAAGTATTCAGGAACCTTCGGGAACCTTCGGTGCGGTCAGAGGATTCGTGGATGTAGTGAAGGACTTGTGCGAGGCGAGAATTGTTGTAGCGGTTTCGAAGTGCCAGAATGTCAGTCTGCAGTGGGCATGCCAATTTTGACGGAGTTTGGTACCCTGGTAAACACTGTCGCACAAGTGTGCGTACAAGCATGAGGACAAGTGACCTACGACATCGTCAAGGGTTGGGCCTTAAGGCTGTACTTTCTCAGAGGGCGCCTTAATCGAACATCTGCCAATACACACAAGCTATGCTCAAGCTATGCTCCCAACTTGTGGTCACCTATGGCCTCGTCAAGGAGGTCTCGCATATTCTTGGAGTTTAGCATATCTGTTGTACCGCCGGTTCGTGGCACCGCGTTGGATGAGGCAACCAGGATTTGAGAATCCGAAATCTTCTTCAGGCCACGCCGCCCAGGGAAGAGCCCAGCATTTCCAGTTCAGCGGCTTCCTGCGCTTCTCAGGTGTGGAGTTTCAAGGTGGGTTTCCAGTTTGAGGGCTTTTTCTTTTCATCTGCTGACGCTCTTGTAGCCCGTGCTTGGCATCTTGTATTGAAGTAGCCAGACTTCTCAAGCCTCCGTTGACCACAAACGTCTCTGAGCGCTCACTGCAGATCTTCAGTTCTTGAAACCACCTTGTACCTCACAGCGGCTTTTGCCTCCAGCGTTTAGCATGAGTATCCTTCCACACATGTGCACACAGGGCCGCGACATGTCAACTTAGACATCGCCACCCAGCAGTCTAGATCGCAAACATTCGTACCCGGCATTAACTAACAAACCTTGCCCGCATTGCGCTGGCAAAAGCAGTGCGTGTGCAGAGCACCCTCCTCGCCGTGGACGAAAGGAAGATCCTCAGTGACGGTTGCTGTCCGAGGCTGTCCGACGCTCGACACTCAGAACGGGTGCTCAAAATGGCTCGGTCTAGTTGCTTACTATGCGCTACATGCACCCCAGAACACAGAGCACAAGCGCATGATTTTGTTCCGGTTTCTCGGCGGCGCGTCTGCGGACGGAATACTCAAACAATGAGCATCCACACCGGGGCAGTGTATAGCTGCAGGCCAACGGGACTCCGCTGCCCAAAGCTTCTCACCAGGTTGCCTTCCGTCAATCTCAAAGTCCACAACCCTAAGCCTTTCGTAACCTAATCGCATTCCCTCTATACTCCTCAGGCTTCAAAGCCTCAACCCTGAGTCTTAAGTCTTAGAAATCCATCACCCCACACTGTCCTGCTGTATGACACATGAGTACAGGCCCGCGCAAGTCCCTGCCCACTTTCGTTGGTTTGGGAGAGCGCCCCGTCCCAGCCTTAACTATGGTTTGAAGCTACACATGACGTGGGCACTGGGACATGCAGCGCCAAGCATAAAACCGAAGAATGTTCAGAGAAATTCCTGCACGGCTGTACCATGTAGCTAGCGTCATTACAACGCACGCCCATGTGCGATCACACACACACACACACACTTGCGACAGCATGAGGCCACGTAGCTGATTCCAAGTCCTCTTGAAACGCGCAAAACATCCCAACATCGTCCCCTCGGACGCGGGAAGCTCGGGGCAGAGGTGCCATCTGGCATTGGCCCAGGGGTGGCAAAGCTTCGGCTTCAGCCATCAGGGCCGCCAGTCTTAGGCAGTTCCAATCTGGGCTGCGGCTCGGGGGGATCAGATGAAAGGTGGCGATAGAGTGTGTCGGTGAACATTCAGGCTCGTGTATCCCGCCACCGCATCACGCCTCAACTCTAGCAGGCATACTGGCTCGTGTTGGCCAGTATCTGCGAAAAGGCAGCAGGGCTCCAACGCCAAAGGCCCTAGCATCCCTAGCCTTAGTCTTGCGAAGACTTTGCAAAGCTGTCACACTTTAACTCATGTTCGCATGCTGGAAAAAGACAAGCACTGAAATCACCATCGTTAACGACATGCCATACTCCGTCGCTGTCTGGGCTTCCTGGCTGTAATGCTTGCTACCTCACTACGGCAACCACATTGCCTTGTTTGTGAACCTTGCTGGAGCCAGGTGCCGACTGGCCTTGCAATTGCGCAAGCAGTGGAGGACGACCAGCAAGATCAGATCAGCTCAAGTGGCCCATCTCTCTAAACATCTCTAAACCGAAGTACGACTGCAATTCAATGGCGCTCAAGCATGGCTCTTTGTAGAGCCCCTGAATCTGGAACCGTTTGAGGCGTCTGGAGAGGGGTCGCTGAAGTAACCTACCAGATTGGAAAGTTGTATGCATGCTTGGGCAAAGCAGGTTTGCCGCTGAACCTCACAGGCTTTTGGGCCACAGACCTCCTTTCGTGCCACTGACCTGCGACAGTCGCCGGATCCTCCTCATCGTACATCCTCCCAATTGGGAGGAGGCGGAAGCGATCGATCCCTCGAGAACTCGAGAATTCCTGCGCCAGGCCCCCCCTTGTCTGATCCTGAGCCCACCTTCGCCGGTCCTCTCAGGTTAATGAAGTTTTGGGCGTGCTTGCTTAGGATAGGCTCTCCAGTATAGAAGTAATCACTTAAACACTGTCTCGCTTGCCTGGCATTTCGGAAGAAACAAGCCCCCCCCCCCTTTCCCAGAACCACGTGTCAGGACTATGCGGCATGTCAAAACACCAAAGTTTGTGAACAGCAGGGATCGTCGTTTCTTTGCCCATCACGGGCCTTCTGTACAATAGGCAGCCTGAATTGCCGCGTCGAAGGGTTAAACCTTGCATTTGCATAGGACACAGCAGCAACCAAGCATGGAGAGCCATTAGCCACAGCATTGAACCACATGCAGGGAAGCTCCCTGAAAAGGTCGGCTGCGTGTAGTTCAACCCCCCGGGCAACAACCAGCTAAGCAGCCGGCCTGGCCGTGGTACCTCGACACGACTTTCCTACTCGATGTCGCTGTTCATCGCCCTTGCTTCTAATTAATAGCCAACAGGGCGTCTTGCAGTTGGCAGAAACGCCGCATCTTAGGAACCTTACAAGCAGCTTGTGCCAGTTGGGCTGCATGGTTTTAGCCCGTGGCGTTCCTGTCTTGGTATCTGTGGAGGCCACTCCACCCTAAGCTAGGCCCGAGGGATCACGCTTGAGGCCTAAGGTCAACGTGATACTTGCAGGCTCGACAGGAACCCTGGCCCTACACGGACCTTCGACATCCCTGAACTCTACCCCGGAGCCATCGAACCCCAAAACGAGACCTCCTGCATCTCTACACGGCACAGACCTCACTGCGCGGAAACTCTGCTTCTGAGGGGGCGCTGCAAGCTGTGGTGCGTAAGCCGTAAGCCCTTTGGCGGTTTCTCAGCTCTTGAAGTCTCAGGCATTCGCTGGCCCGAAGCCGATATCTACACTTCGTGAGTGCGGCTCATCAGGGCGTGTTCGGCCACCCATATCCGCCAGTCTAGATCCTACATGTGCGGGTAAAACTTTCGAAGAGCATTTTCCTGAGGTCTATGAAGCATCCCTGAGCTCTCCCCTCCAAAAACCCTCACTGGGGCGAGCTGGGGACTATCCCATACAAGCTTGCAGCACCCTCAGCTTTCGGAGTCTGCAGGATGCAACGCTCCGATCATACCTCCGGCGCATCCTCGCGAAGTGGCGAAGCCTGGCAGAAATCTAGGGGGGGAGGGGGGGAGAGGGGGGGGGGGGGTTCCTTGGGTGGAGTGGTGTGCTCTATTCAATATTCTGATTCCTTCGACCCTGGGTCCCGCTCCCCGCTGGGTCCCCGCTGGGTCCCCGCTGGGTCCCCGCTGGGTCCCCGCTGCCTCTCACTTCTTCTTCACGGGCTTCAGGACCTTGAAGCTGCACCTGCGCTTGACTTAGCAGGCAACGCTCTCCATCGAGCAAGGCCACGAAAGTCTCAGAGTTATAAGGGTTGGGGGAGCTCCGATGCACTTCGCGGCCCGGTGTTCCACAAGAGCGTGAAGGTCAGCAATCATAGCTTCGAGGATGCAGTTAGACTGGCCCCGCAATGCCAGACATGTCACATGAGCGTGTCGTCGATTGACATCATGGCCCCAGCATTGTCGAACTCACCACCTGAGCGGTCGAAAATGCCATGTGTGCCATTCGGGGCAGTGAAAACTCAACTTGGGAACCAGGGAAACAAATTTAGTCTGAACGCCGAAGCAAACAGTACTCGGGTAAAGGAGATCATCGGGATAAGTCTTCAAGATCAAAGCCGCTGCATTTTGCACATTGCTGTTCTGAAAAGCTGAGACTTGGACACTCGAAATAAATAAGCACCGCAAGGCCTACATAGATCAGCTGACGAAACCCTGTCTTCGTTGAACGTGGCGCAACGTGCTTCGTGGCCGCCTATCGGTTTTCGAGGGTTAGCAACCCCCATAGGTACAGACCCACAAGAGCCCGACAGGAGAACGTTTTAGATCACTTTCCGAGGAAAAGTACTACACACCTGGAAGGCATGCAACATCACGACACGATTGGAACTACACAGTATCTGTCCGATGCTCAAGAACCTAAGCCCCGAATCAAACCCAAAAGCTTCAGACCTCGAAGCTCGAGGTGCACGGGAGGCGTTCGTCTGAGCGGCAGTAGTTCGGAGCACTAAAGAGTGTGATCAGCTGTCGCTTGGCGAAGAACTCATATCCTCAGGCAGAATTGATGACTTGGGACCAAAGGTTCTTTTGACTCAGCAAACAATACCGGTGAAATTCATGTCATCCTTGGTTCCAACTTGTAGCTACAACTAAGTCTGCTCTGGCATTTAAGGTACCTCCTTGTGTCCCGACCCAACTTCTTGCAATCGCAGGCTGATCGGACCCGAGTGATTGTTGGGGCTAAGAGCAAAGGAATGTGATGTACCGGTGTCATCGTGCATCGACTTATTTGTCTTCTTGGTCTTTCCCAGCTCTCTGTCTCTCGCTTCCTCTCTGAGAACACAGCTGCCAAGAGGATGGCATGCGATGTTCCTGCAATCCTCTGGGGGAGTGCATGTTGGCAGTTGGCTTACTGCAGGAGCCGGACATGGCTGGACATGTGCGGGGCTTGCTCGGCTGACACTGCCAGTCAGAAGCTTATGCGGATCTGTGCATGTGTAGCTGCAAGAGCGAGAGAGAGAGAGGACAGGGGACAGAGATCGAGGAGGCAAGACGGAACAAAAAAAAGGGAGCGAGATCGCGGGAGGGAACTGCTCGCTTGTGTTCTGGACCGAGTGACGGGGGTACGTGCGAGTCTTGGCGCATGTCCGCGAAAACTCAACAACCTGAAAGACGTTTTTTGATTTATTCTTACGCATGGCGACACAAACTCTACTTTCAAGTTTGCGCGCTTTGAAGTTTCGATCTTGTGGCGAACCAGACTATCAAACGCGTGCGCGGCATGACAAGTTTCACTGAGGGTTGTTCTTGATGTCTTGCTGGCTCGGCCTGGAAACAAATCACTATCGCATTCCTTTGCGTGAATATGTGAGCTTCTCCCAACAGGCCAAGAGCTGTAGCATACTGGTCCAAATGCGGCTGAAGTGGCCATCCTCAACGACCTGGTGGGCCCTGCATACCAAGTCCATGTCCTGAGAGCGAGATTGGGCGAGGGTGCCACCACGCACGTTAAGGTGCACAAGGCGGGTGGAGGGCAAATGGGGGGGAGGGGGGGCATGAGGTGAGGGCTCCCTTCCTAGCCCCTCACAGGACCTCCACGTTGCAACCCGCATCGTCAAGCAAAGCAGCAAACCCTGAGACCAAATCTGTAGCCATGTACAGCCCCGAGCATTGAAGGCTTCGGGCTTTGGCAGGTTGTGGCTTGCGACTTGAGGGCTTGGTGCTTGGACTTTTTATGCACTTCCCAGCAGTCAAGAGCGGACCATCATGTTCTAAGCAGTGCCAAGCAGCATGCTTATGCAGGAAG